TCCGTTTTTAAATTAGGTCAGGCATTTGCTTGGCAGACTTTCTCAGTTCCGTATTCCATAACATTTGCTTCACTGTGCTTGACCTCCTATATAAGGACAAACTGCTTTGCCGTTAGCTACCACAACTGCCACAGCTTGTAACTGATGCTGACCAATTGTCAGTCATGTTGAGGCTGTGGTTGCAACTTGGCTGCCTCGTGGCCCATACCCAAGCGTACGGCTGGTCCTATGACCATGCCCTGGAAACTAATCTGATAGGCGTCAGCGCCAATGCACACTGGTACCTCATCAACTGTAAAGCAGCCTCGCAAGTAAAACAAGAAGAAACCCAACTCTCATCTTGCAATTTGTCCACTTACAGCTTGCAACTGCAACGGGTTTGCGGACAAATGTTACTTCGATGCGCATCTGTTCAATCAGACGGGTCATGGCGGCCACTGCCTGGATTGCCGCGACAATCGTGATGGACCCAACTGCGAGCGCTGCAAGGAGAACTTCTATATGCGCGACAACGCCTACTGCATCAACTGTGGCTGCGATCCCGTCGGATCCCGTTCGCTGCAGTGCAACAGCCAGGGCAAGTGCCAGTGCAAGCCCGGTGTGACGGGCGACAAGTGCGATCGATGCGCCAACAACTACTTCCAGTTCGGACCCCATGGATGCCAGCCATGTGGCTGCGATCCGCGTGGCTCCCATGACAATACGCCAGCCTGCGATGCCGAGAGCGGCATTTGCTTCTGCAAGGAGAACGTCGAGGGCAGGCGCTGCAACGAGTAAGTAGACGTAGCGGACTAAGTCCAACTCAGCTCTCTAATCTCAACAATTGGCAGATGCAAGCCGGGCTTCTTCAATCTGGATAAGAGCAATCGCTTTGGTTGCACTCCCTGTTTCTGTTATGGCCACACCTCCGAGTGCCAGACCGCACCCGGCTACTCCATTGTCTCCGTCACCTCCAGCTTCAACAAGCACAAGGAACGCTGGACAGCAATTGATCTGAATCGCCGTGACGTGGATATCAAATACAATCAGTATAGTCGCAGTATTGGCACCACAGCTCAAGGCAACGAGTATGTCTATTTCCAGGCGCCGGATCGCTTCCTGGGCGATCAGCGCGCCTCCTACAATCGCGACCTTAAGTTCAAGCTGCAGCTGGTGGGTCAGGTGGGACCCAGCAGCAGTGCCAGCGATGTCATCCTGGAGGGCGCCGGAAGCAAAATTTCACTGCCCATCTTTGCCCAGGGCAACGGCATACCGGACCAGGGTGTCAAGGAGTACACGTTCCGTTTGCATGAACATCACGACTACCAGTGGCAGCCCAGCCAGTCGGCGCGAGGCTTTCTCTCGATACTATCCAATCTGACGGCTATAAAGATCAGGGCCACCTATTCCGTGCAGGGCGAGGCCAATCTCGACGATGTGGAGCTGCAAACGGCGCACAGGGGCGCTGCTGGGCAGCCGGCAACATGGATTGAGCAGTGCACCTGTCCCGAGGGCTATCTCGGCCAGTTCTGCGAGTCCTGCGCGCCACGCTATCGCCACAGCCCAGCACGCGGTGGACCCTTCATGCCCTGCATACCTTGCGACTGTCATGGCCATGCGGATATCTGTGATTCGGAAACGGGCAGCTGCATCTGCCAGCACAACACACAGGGCGATAACTGTGACCAGTGCGCCAAGGGCTACTATGGCAACGCCTTGGGCGGCACACCCTATGACTGCAAGCGCTGTCCCTGCCCCAACGATGGCGCCTGCCTGCAAATTAACGGCGACACGGTCATCTGCACAGAATGCCCTGTGGGTTACTTTGGCTCCCGCTGCGAACAGTGCAGCGACGGCTTCTATGGAGATCCCACTGGACTGCTCGGCGATGTGCAGACCTGCAAGAGCTGCGACTGCAATGGCAATGTCGATCCCAATGCGGTGGGCAATTGCAATCGCACCAGCGGTGAGTGCTTGAAGTGCATCCATAACACAGCTGGCGAACACTGTGACCAATGCTTGCCCGGACACTTTGGTGATCCGTTGGCCCTGCCCCACGGCAAGTGCGATCGCTGCAGCTGCTATGCCGCCGGCACCGAGCAGGATGAGCAGAGCATCTCACGCTGTGACCAGGTCACTGGCCAGTGCCAGTGCAAGCCCAATGTGATTGGACGCGACTGCGGCGAGTGTCAGCCCGGCTACTTTAATATACGTTCCGGTAATGGCTGCGAGAATTGTCTGTGCGATCCCGTCGGCAGCTACAATTCTACATGCGACAGGTATACGGGCCAGTGCCACTGCAAGCCGGGCGTCGTGGGCGTGCGCTGTGACCAGTGCGCCAACTATTTCTTTGGCTTTTCCGTGGAGGGCTGCAAGCCGTGCGAGTGCGACGAGAGCGGATCCAAGGGCTTCCAGTGCGATCAGAATGGCCAGTGTCCATGTAATGACAATGTGGAGGGACGTCGCTGCGATCGCTGCAAGGAGAACAAATACGATCGCCATCGTGGTTGTGTGGACTGTCCGGATTGTTACAATCTGGTTCAGGAAGCAGCCAATTTGCATCGCGCCAAGCTAGCCAATTTGAGCTCAACTCTTGACGAGATCGCACGCACGCCAGTGACCAACGATGAGGAGTTCGAGGGCAAGTTGAAGGCAGTGCAGGAGAAGGTGGCCATATTGGCACAGGATGCGCGCTCTGGCTCTGGCGAAGGCGGCCAGACCTATGTTGAGGTCATCAACGATCTGCACAAGCGCCTGGACAGCATGCGCAGTCATTTGGTTAGCGCCGATGCACTGCAGCAGGATGCCAACGCAGAGATCGCTAAGGCACGCAGCAATTACACGCAGCTGCACAAGATCATCGATGATGCCAAAAAGGAACTGCAGGAGGCATTGGATCTGCTCAACGATGAGGGTGCACAGGCCCTGGCCAAGGCCCAGAACAAATCCGTAGAGTTTGGCGAGCAATCCGAGCAGATATCGGACATTTCACGCGAGGCACGGGCTCTCGCCGATCGTCTCGAGTCAGAGGCGCAATTCGATCTAAAGAATGCTAAGGACGCCAAAGATGCTGTTGAGAAGGCCCATCTGCTGGCCAAGAATGCCATCGATTTGCAGCAAAAGGTCGGCGTTGAGCTTCGCTCTGAAGTGCGCCTCGAGCTGAATCAGGTCAAGCAATCCCTGGGCACTGTCGTCCAAACCTCAAAGGAGGCGCTGCGCAAGGCCAACGAGGTGTACGACGCGGCTCTCACGCTGCTCAATGATGTGAACCGACAAACCCAGCCTGACATTGACATCAACAAGCTGAAGAAGGAGGCCGTGTCCGCCAATGAGCGCGCCGACGATCTGCTCAAGCAGATCAACGAGCTATCCAACAGCAATGGCGAGGTCTTTGCCGACTTCGAGGCAGAAAGTAGTTTTGCCCAGGTGCTTCTCGAACGGTAAGTCATAGTCATTGAGCTTTACAGTTAGCCAAATTCAAAATTTTACTACTTAGCGCCGATGCACAAAAGAAGGATGACATTGAGCTGTTGGAGCGCGCCAAAGCCGCCTACGAACGCGCCACCAAGGCGGTACAGCAGGGCGATAGTACACTCAAGGAAGCCAACGATACCTACAACACTCTGGCCGGCTTTCAGTCGGACGTGCAGAGATCTTCGGAGAAGGCTGCCTTGGCATTGCAAACGGTGCCCAGCATTGAGATGGAAATTGAGAATGCAGACAATCTGATTCGCCAAGCTGGTGAGGCTCTAGAGGGTGCCAACAAGAATGCCAATGAGGCCAAGAGCAATGCCCAGGAAGCGCAGGAGAAGTATGCCGAACAGGCCTCTAAGGTAAGTCCCGCTTAGATCCTAGCCATACCCTCTACTAACCAGGTATGTGCTCCTAGGATGCCGAGCTGATCCGCCGCACGGCAAATGAGACCAAGGTCGCCGCCCGCAAGCTACGCGACGAGGCTGATCAGCTGAATCATCGCGTGAAGCTGACTGAAATGAATATCTTCAATCTGGAGGATAATTCAACCAAAGATGACAATCTCGTGGATGATGCCAAGCGCAAGGTGGGTCAGGCCAAGGCTGACACACAGGAGGCACAAAAACAAATTGAAAAGGCCAACGCAGAGCTGACAGCGATCAAAGACGAGCTGGAGAACTTGAGGGACATCAGCACAGATGATTTGGATAAATTGGGTAAGCAGGTGCAATCTCTAAAGAAGCGAACCGTGTTGCTAATAATATCTTCCATTCAGAAAATCGCCTCACTGTCGTGGAGAGTGACATCAACCGCGTGAATCTAACTGGACGCATTGAAAAGTACCGAGAACAGCGCAACATCCAAAAGAAATTAATTGACAAATACGAAGCAGAGTTGGCCGATTTATCCGGTGAGGTGGATAATATACGTTTGATATCTGAAGCACTGCCGAGTGGTTGCTTTAGGCGCAATCGCCTGGAGCCCTAGACATACATACCCTAACTAAGTGCACTACCAACTACCGACTACTTCAATTAACATCTAAGTACGAGGCGAATACGAACAAATCGCAATTAGCCGTAGCCGTTGAATGAAATTATGTAATTTTAGTCTTTTAGCAGAAATATTTTGTTTAGTGAAAAAAACGATAAACAAGAACCAGAAAACAAAAACAAAAACCTAGAAAAGAACAAAAAACATTGAGAGACGTTAAGCTTTAAAGCATCGTTCATATATTATCATAATAATGTGATGCAACAAATTTCTTAACTGCCAATTTGTGCTTTAAATTCAAGCCAGCCATGGACGACTGTATTATACTACTATATATTGAAAACTGTGCCGTGTACAACTCCAAATCAATTGCATTTCTATATCTCCCCCATATGGTTATTCCATATTGCAATCTATACATTATTAACATATTTGTCAACTACGTTTAATGTGCCAATTACAATATTTTTTTCGTGTTTAAGTCGCCTAATGAATTTCACCTTAAAATAAATGTTTTCCAACGTTGTCATTTTGTATAAAGTATATGTAGAGCATTATTTGTTATTCATATTACGCAATAGCAAAAAGAAATTGCCGCTCATGCGGAAAACCTGCCAAGGATTGAAAAGATAAGTAAAATGGAGAGATCAAACCAAAAACACTTAGTGGAAGAGCAGAAGTTTGGGTTTCTTTATAAGAGCGCCTTCTAAACTAACCTGTACTAAAAACTTATGGGATAAATTGGCAAAACCTCCAACGCTTAGAACAAAAGCTCGCCTTGAGAAAAGCAGCATTAGTTTAATAATTAATTTAAAATCCTCAGATTCGTTATACCAGGCGCAGTTGTACCAGTCAAAAAATAATAATTCGCTCTATAACAAATATTAAGATGTTCTGTACAAGGGATTACTTTACCTGAGACTCGACCTTTTGCGCATTGACATTATATAGGCTGATTTCCAAAGTAATTGTTACCAAGTAAACCATAATCATGCCCATCCAGACCCAGCCTACTTCCTGAAATATTTAAATTCGATTTGAAATAATTTCTATATAAAGTTAGGGATCTTCAGATTACCCACCATCACAGTGCTGATCTTGTAGAGCAACATGCATATCAAAATGCTGCTTATCACGCATTGGACTAGAATTATATACTTAAAAACATTTTCAATTTGAGCATGATGTCTATGGAAGAGAACTTTGAAAATCTCCACACAATCAATTTAGTAAACGTCTTACCTCGAGATGCGGGCAAAAAGTCTGGCACAACAACGAATGAAAAACACCCTGGAAGATTTAGGAACCACAGCATTATTTGTGGAGTTTTGGACCAGATAACGTAAGACCTCTATAAGACAGGCCTCATGGTTGGTAAGCACCACAAAGAGGCTGTTGAAGCCAAAGACAGCTGTTGAAAGTTATATAAGAGATTTAGACATATGAAACGTAAATCAAGACCTACCAAAAAAGCACCAAACCGGACCAGATTGAAGCAGAATGAAACGCACTGAGAATGGGGGGAATTCATGTTTACCCAGGTGTACAAAGGGCACGATTGCTGGATAGGCTATATAGAGTAAATAGCTTATGAGTCAAAAGCCTACAGTTTTTTTTTTTTTTTTTTGTTTACTTACTCAAAGTCATTTCGCAAGTATCCTGGACAATGTAACAATCGTAAATGTATTGGAAATATGGCCGCAAACAATAATACAGAACAGGCATGCAAACGATCTTGTAGAAGAACATGACCTGACGATCGATCACCAGCCAGCTCCTTCTCAACATGGAGCTCAATTTTTTACACAACGCATGAGGGTTCGTCAAATCTGAAAAACAATACCTGAGATATAAAAGCAACATAAAACTGCATCCTCTTACCCAAATCAAATAGACCCAAATGCTTTAATATAGCACCTGTCTCTGTGGTGCGTAGCAGCTCCACACAAGAATCCAGAAAGCTGTGAAAATGCATCATCTTGACCATTCCAACTGACAACTGAAAGGTAAGTAGCACAGCCTGAAAAGAGTCAAATTTATGTATAAAAAAAACCTTACAAATTGCACTCAGAACAAACCTCTACATAGGCTTCAAAGGAGACCATATAAGTGGCCATTATAAATTTAATGAGACTGTAGATAATGCTCAGATTAACAAGAATTGCAAAAATGCGTAAGCTAGAAGATAAAATTCATAGTTAAAATTGCAATGTCTCTAATTTTGTGGAATACTCACAATCTGCAGGGCCTAGAGGTGCGTTTTCTGGGCGCCATGTTAATGCCCAATGCGTAGGCGCTGTACTCCACCCAAGTTAAGCCAAGCTTGGGCAAATAATCAATTCTCTCCAGTTCCCGGTCAAATATGTTCAGCATTCTGCACGATAAAACCTAAACTGCGAACAGGAGTCTGGCTATGGCAAGCTTTTATAGTATTTTTAAGTGGGAGGTCCTAGCTCAATTAGTTGTAAATTATATGGTTGCTTCTAGGCAAATTACTTGATTGTTTGAACATTGTGCAACTCTTGCTTAAGAAGGCAAAATAAAAAAAATACCCTAACGAGGCAGTATGAGAAAACATTAAAAATTAAACGATATAGTTAAGGGCAAAAGACTTTGACTAGACAACACAAATTGAAATCAAGAATATTTTCCTTGAACACTTTTATTAAGTCAAAGGGCATAACTTCTTAGTAGATAATCATGTCTCAGTCTAAGCAAAGGGAAAAAAAACGGTATATTGAGAATTTATAAGTCCCAAAATACTTTTAAAAAAATAATTACAATTAAAGTATATGTCTAGAATTTTTGGAATGAAGGGGCATGTAAATTTTTCAAAAAATAACGGCTGCGACATTTGCGCGAAGTTGGCAGCACCAACAGCTGTTTTAGCTGTGAAAGTGCAACAGATGGGCAGCACTCTGAAAATATAAATCGCATTGTATTTGTTTACTTGTTTTCGAATCGTTCAAGTCCAAAGTTAAAACTGAAAACGGGTGGCTAAAGGCTTCGCCTTGATGACCAAAATGAGCCCAACTAAACAAGAACTGCTGCAGCCGGTGAAGACAACAAATCCCCTTGTCTATTTCGACATCAGCATTGGCGAAGAAAGCGGTAAGCGGGAGCAGCTCATTATCTGTGTGCTTGACCTAGTTAATTGTTATCGTATGTACATATTCGTAACTGATTTGCGCAGCGGGACGCATGGTAATTGAACTGCGCAAGGATGTTGTGCCAAAGACAGCGGAAAATTTCCGTGCTCTATGCACGGGCGAACGTGGCGTGGGGCAGCTGGGCAAACGGCTGCATTACAAGGGCACGCGTTTCCATACAATCAAGCGGGTGTTTGCCGTACAAGGAGGTGATCTGGTGAACAACGATGGCACCAGCGGCGAGAGCATCTATGGTCCACTGTTCGAGGATGAGAACTTTGAGCTGACGGTGGGTGGTCCATGCATACATTCATATCTGTAAAACTGTATTAAGAACTCTTACCTGCAGCACAACGAGGAGGGCGTGGTCAGCATGGCGAACTATGGCAAGCCAAATACAAACAACTCCCAGTTCTTTATCACAGCCGTCGGCTGTGAGAACCTCAATGGCAGCAATGTCGTTGTGGGCCGTGTACTGCGGGGCCTGGGCATCGTTGCCGAAATGGAACAGAACTGCAACGATGAAGCCCATCCGACGACGGATATTACTATAACCGACAGCGGCGAGCTGGCTCCTGGCGAGGATTGGGCCATCGAATGCAGCGATGAGACATCTGACAAGCTGCCGCCCTATCCCCAGGATTGGACGGGCAAATTCCACAAGCCAACGGTAGGGTTTAATTATGCAATGTCATCATGACAGATGTTAAATATTTATTGTTGTTTTGTGTATTAGGTGGAAACAGCTGTTAGCCTGCTCACGGGCCTGCGAAAGTCGGGTAATCACTTTTTTCAGCTGGGTCGCTTCCATGAGGCGCGTGCCAAATACCGCAAAGCGAATCGTTACTATACGATGCTGCGCCGAAGCTTTGACTGGCAGGAACTGAAACGCAGTCAAGCCGACTCCGAACTGAGGCGATTGGATGCCTTCTCCGTGGTGAACAACATCAATATGGCGGCTGTCGAACTGAAATTGGGCAACTATCAGTATGCCAAATACGAGTGCTCCGAGGCCATTCGCTTGGATCCCAACTGCAGCAAGGCGTTTTATAGACGAGGACAAGCGCAACGTGCAATGCGTAACTACGAGGAGGCCATAAACGATTTGAAGCATGCACATAAACTGCTGCCGGAAAATAAACAAATCCTAAATGAATTAAACAGCGCCAAGCAGCTCCTGGCCGAATACAATAAGCAGCAACGAAAGGCGCTCAAGAATCTGTTCCACTAGTTGACAGCGAGTTCGTACAACACACCTGACTAAATGCTAAGATGAAAATTTGCTCTATTTACTGTAGGATGTTCCAGAGAGAATACAAATAATTTGTAATTAAATGTTTATACTATTATAGAAAAAATACCTATATTCCAAGTTATTGTTCAGTGTCCCCAGGGGCCATACGAAGGGCTGTTTGCTGGTTCCGTATCTGCATTATAGATGATAACTGCGAAAGTTGTTAAATTTGTATGTATATGTTATGTAATTATATCGTACTTAAAAACACATTTGTTCATACACAATAATGCTTGTTCAACACTCAACTGAATGATAGTGACCTATAATGCTGCTTAAATACTAAAAAACTAATTTGATTACATATCAAAATGAGCTTAATCCTGCACTAATCTTAACCATATGTAGGGTTCCTCTATATTTAAAGATTTGTCACAATGTCCTGCTCGCTGCGATGCAAATTACTTGAACCGGCCCCCATGGAGTAGCTTTTCATATTGATTTCCATATTGGTCAGGGCGCTAGAAACGTGATACAAGTTCTCTGAGAGTATCGCATATACCTCAAATAGCTCCGAGTCCGATTTGGATACAATAAAGGCTTCTGCTGGTCAGTTAAATGGTTACAAATATTGTCCAAACATATACATTTTGAATATAAACAAACCTGTCCGATCCTTCATAATGCTATGCGCATAGGCATTCAATATAATCGACATCTCATCGAACTTGATGCGACTGTCCAAATTTCCATAACTAAGGATGGTCAGACTTTGATCGCCAGCGCTGAGCATGGACACGCGTCGATACTGTCGCACATGTGAAATGGCGCTAGTCCAACACTGCCGGTCAATGTGCTCGTGCAGCGACGCCTCGAACTCCTCATGTGTCATGGGCAAGCCGGGCGAGGGCGTGGGCGTGTGCTCACCCTCCGTTGAGGTGGATGATTCCAGGCAATCCAGATCAGCTTCGCTGGTGCATCGCACCAAAGCATCTCGTACCAGGGCATAGAGATCGGATATGTCGTGCATCTACAAGGAAACAGTAGGTTAGAGCTGAGCAAACCCCGACTAGACAGCATCACATACGTCTTCATTGATGCGAAAATGATTAACCACATTCGAGGATATTTTATGATTCGATTCGATCAGCAAAAGTAGCTGAAACATAAGCTTATACAAGGAACGTCCCAGGTCCAGCACAACCTCCGTTGAGGCTGGATCGAAGGGCATGCAAGGAATGCTGGAACTGCTGGGCAGCTCCAAGCCCGAGGCAGCCACGTCTGCTTCATTGAACAGAGAAAGTTTGCAGGATGTTTTCACTGCGTCCAAGCACTGCAATTGCGAATTTCACATTAAAGCAGATAGTAGAAAGTATTTACTAAGCAAAATCACCTCTAGAACTTGATCCTTGCGATCGAAGAACGTCTCCAGATGCTCTTGCACCTCCAGCACATTAAACCTCAGAGTTTCAAACAGCTTTGGCGTAGTGGTCTGCATCTCGCTGCACCACACACGTGGCGGATCGGCACGCGAGCTCAGCAAATCCGTAAATAGTGAGATGCGATTGCCCAGCTGGGAGCCGATGCCCGTGAAGAATTTCTTGGCCTCCTTCGAAATGGTAATTGTCTTGAAGGTCAATTCCTTGATCAGCCTGTACAGCTGCTGCAGCAGCTCAGAGGTGTGCGCTGAGGGTTGATTAACCAGCATAGACTGCAGCTGACGTCGCCAATTCTCCTCCGCCTCATCGCGAACAACAGCGCCAAATCGAATGATTCCCTGCATGTGTGGCGAGGCATTGCATGGCGTGATATCTCCCAAATCACCAGCACTGGAGCCGCTGGTATCACTGCGGGACACGGAATTGCGGCGACGTCGCTCTCGCAGGCTCAGGGAAGAGGGCGGTGCGCCGCTAAAGATGGACTTCAAAAAGGATTGACGGTGATCGTCGTCCAGCGGTGATTCCGACTCGGCTTCCTCATCGGATGAATCATCTGCGGTCTGTCGCTTACGCTTACTCAGAATTGGTGTCTTATCGCTGAAGCTGTCCTCCAGTGCAGAGGAATGGCCGCCCTTAATGGATCCACCGATGCCGCTACCGAGGTTCAAACGGTCCTCGTCACCCTCGAAGAGCTGATGTCGACGTACACCCCAGTTAAAGTTGTCCGTAGACTCGCCGGCGATGCTGTCCTCGTACTCCAGAAAATCAAAGTCCTTGAAGACTGTAAAGTCGGGCTGGCCATCGTCACGACGCGAACCGCTGCTTAGATCGCCCTGCGGACCCGATGTTTCCTCGGTAGACGAGGCGGCCGATGACTGCCGTTCCATAAGATCCGAAGATTGGCTAAAGATGACCTACATGTTGGCAAGCGAAACAGGGATTAGTAACCACTTAAGCAAAGAGACATGCAGGGCTAACACTGATAGATCTAATAAAAAATATTAATTTTAAGAAAAAGACTGGAAAGCTTACGCTTTGTCTGGTCGCAATCGATCCCGTTAGTAGCGATGTGCTCAAAGACTGAACGTGAACAAGAAAACGAAACGGTACAGTTTGAAACAAAACATACATGCAAAAGTCAAACACGAAACGAAACGAAACAGAACAAGCGATGCCATCAGAGTCTGATCCAGTTTTCGAGTGGCAAAAGCGACGGAACGTGAAAATGACAATCACGATTCAGATACGAAAACTGGAACGATCCCTGTTGCATGTGTACGGCATGGGTGGAATGAAACAATGAGCAATGCATATAAGTACAAATGAAATGTGAAACGAGCCAAAACAAATTACGTAAACAAAGACAAAGCTACACGTGGCCTTGAGAAACATGTTCCTTTACCTTTGAGCAAATAGAGTTTAGAAAATCATCCTATAATTGGGTTTGGTTCGGGTTGTTATTGATGATAAAATGGCGTGTTAGTTTTAGTTTGACATTGGGGTTGGTTTTTTTTTTCGAGTTTGATTTGGTTTTAATAAAGTTGTATTTTTTTACATGAAAGAAAAAGAAGTAGAAATAAATAATTTTGTAGAGATGATGGCCATATTAGAAAGCAGGAGCTGAAAAAGCTAGCGCTAGGGGAGCTCAAAGCATGCACCTTGATAATGTACAGGCTGGCAAAAATGTCGACCCCTGGCCGCAGTCTTTGTGGCCGCAAACTTACCGATGGCGACTTGGGCAGACCGACCCGCTGCCCACAGGTGGTCAATAGATTCACCAGACACTCGCGCACACGACACTGCGACATCCAGGGGCGCTTCCAGCCGCTAAGCGGCACGGTATCCGCCGGCGACAGGCTAGCGCTGCGTCTCGGCGAATTGGGCGTGCCCACAACACTGCCAAGGCCAACGCCTTGCTGCTGTTGCTGCTGGGCGGCAACGGCCGAGGCGGCAATGGCAGCCACATTGCTGTGGGCGCGATGCTGCTGCAGCTGGGCGCTGACCTGCTGAGCAGGCGCAACCGTCACGGTGGTGGCATTGGTCAATGTGGAGTTTAGCGATGAGCTGCCCGCGGCCGATGCAGCACCGCCAGAGCCTGGCTCCTCGGTTTTAAGCAGAATGCGGCGCCCGATAAGCGGCGTTTGGGATACGTCGAATGTGAATTCCATGGTGCGGCCGGCCAGTTCCTTTTTACAGAACATATCCGAGTCCGGATATGCGCCATAGAAAGAGAACGATAAGCCGGCGCTGCTGCCATCGCTGGGCGGGACCACCTGCAGCGAAGAGCTGCGTGTCACAATCAGCTTAAGTATCTTCAGAGAGTCCTTCCAATTGACCGTCTGCAAATGGAAAATGCGAGTAGAGAGCCGCTTAAACGATCTTTGATAAGTTCGAACTCACATCCAAATATTTGCCAATGGCACGCAACAAATCCGCATTGATGGTCTGCGCCTGAGGCGCCGATAGATCCACGTAGTGCAGCATGCAATGAATAACATTCAGCACGGGCACCTGCACCTGTTGCGGACCCTTCTCCAGCACCTCGATGAGGAAGGCCAACATGTGGAGGCCCATGTGAGCGTATGTGTCATGCAAATACTTGACCACGCACTTGGTCCACTGGAACGATTCCTTGCAAAACGTTTTGCGACTGTACAATGTCATCACAGTGCCCAGATTCTCCAGTTTGGCGCCCAGTTCCGTGGAAACATGTGCGATATTCTCGGCGCTGCGTATGCAAATCTCATTGGCATCCTCGTAATGGAGCAGCATGTACGGCAGCAGGGCGATCACGTTCATGGGAAAAGCACAGCTCTGCGTGGGATCACAGACGGGCAGGCTGAGTAGCGGCGCGAACTGGGCCAGAAGCGTGATTGTGGGCTCATAGGTGGCACTGTGGGTGCAGCCCTGAAAACAAGAATGAATAATTTGAATTAGCTGGTTTCCCTGTGTTTAGTCCGAGCTGCGCTCACCTTCAATAGCAGCGCATGGACGCCTGGGTAGGAGGTCCACTTGAGCTGCTGCTGCAACTTCTCAACTTTGTCGCGCGCATCAGGTCGATCCAGCGGCAGTCGATGCAGAACTCGGGTTAACAGCCGCAACGCCAACATGAACTCATGCTCATAGTCCGACTCGAGCAGCGAAACTGACAGCCAGAACAGCTGCGCCAATATGGTCATCTTGTCATCTTGCGTGGCCGTATCGCCCAGCATTTTCAGGCTCTGTGCGCTGCGTGAGCGCGACAAGGCGGAACCGGCACCTACGCCCACTCCACCCACGCCAAATTTGCTAACAACACTGCGTTCCAGCTCAATGCCAGAGGCACGATTCCGCAGCTCCGCCTGCTTGTCGCAGGGCGAGTTGTTGGCCTTGCGTCCGCAATAGGATACCGAGTAGCTGGTGCTGCGTCCATGGCTGGGTATGGAGTAGTTCGAGGATTGCGGTGTCATGCCCGATGGCGACTTCTTGCCGGGCAGAATGGAGTTGGGACCGCCATCCTTGTTGTTCAAATTGGGCGTGCTTTTGAATATATCTTTCATTACATCCAACGGTCTGAAGTCCGAGTCCAAGCTGTCCACGGCAGCCTCCAGCGTGAGCAGCAACTCCGTTACATAGCCCTGCATGTCCTCGCCCTGCTCAGCCACTGTCTCCACCAGACGGGACAGTATGTCCGACAGCATGCGCGAGTTGATGGGCACATTGAGAGCGCGAAAGATTTGCAGACAGCGTCCGGCATAATGGCGCGAGGAGCAGGACAGACCCAGCTGCAAAGCCGTTTGCGCCCAGCGCTCGGCAATGCGCGCCTGTGGATAGCTATCGGCAAACACCTTGACCATGTGCTTCAGGAAGCAGCTCAGCTGCTCCGCAGATTTTACGGCCCACACCTTCGCCGTGATGTCCTCATAGTTCCAGAGGGGCTGGCAGGTATCGTGGGCGAGGAACTTGAGCAAACTCTTGATCACATGCGCTATGGGCATGCTGGGACCCGGCTGTGGTGGGGCATGCTCATCTGCGTGAATTAACGGCACCTCCGAGTTCTCCGTATTATTCGGATTGATCTGCAGCGCCGCGGGCGTCGAAGCCAATGCCGCTGGCGTGGCATTTCCCGCTCCCAGCACCGGTGGCGGCTGCTGCAGATTCTGTGGCAGCGTCTGCTGATTGGTCGAGTGCGGTGCAATGATTGTCGAGCTGGAGAGATTGTGTTGCAGCGCATAGGCGGCCGCCTGGGGGCTGACGTGCAGCAGATAGCTGTCGAACTGCTGATGCAGTTCCGTAAAGTTATTGTCAATCACGGGCAGAGCCGGCACCGTCAGTCCCAAGTCCAGTTTGCTCGTCTCGCTGTTGAGCAGAATGCGCGCGACAGTCAGATGATCATTGTGCTCAGCCAGGACAATCAGCAAATTGACGCACAGCTGCTTGCAATGCTCCCGCACAATAATGCGCGTGTGATCCAGCCCCAGGAACAATATGTGCAGCATCAGTGGCAAATGAAGCGTCCAATCGATGCCGGGAATGCCATCCACCACAATATCTGTCAGCAGCATGACCGCCACGTTGCATCTGTAAGGGAAGAGAACGCGATTCTGATAAACGAAGCTGAACATACAAATTATAAATGTCGGTAGTTCGGCTCCCGATTCAAATGGACATTTTGCCATTAGGTTACGGTCATGAAACTGGTTTTCCAAAAACGCCTCTTTAACTTGATGAAAAAATGTGGTTTAGTTGGGGTTTCAATGCGGCTGTTTTGGGACGATTCATATTAAAATGTAAGGTAGGATTCGACTCGGGTCCGAAGCGATTGGGTTAAAACATTTTAACATTAAGTTACACATTCTTTAACACGTTTTCAGGATTCTAGGAAGCGAACAACCTAATAACTTAAAGAATATTTTGAAGGTGTTTCTTTCATAAGACAATACATCTCTAAAAAGAATATAGATATAGAAATAATGTTTAAAGGATATATAAAACTTGAGACTTCAATATTCAAAGTTCTCTGCGGTTATTTGTTATTACTTTTGAAAATATTTGCCTAATGCATAAAATCATTAATTGTTAGTGCTTAAGATATCTTGTTTACCCGACAAACAACTATTGTTAATTAGTTTATCTACCAAAAATACTGGAAACGTGCCAACTAGAAATGTGGGTCAGGTGGCCACTATATAAGCCAGAGCTTAGCTAGTTTTTAAGTTGTACCAATTTGTTACATTCAAAATGAAGTTCTTGGCTCTATTTCTCCTGTCTACCGTTGCTCTGGCAAGGGGTAACACATTGAGGCTCGCCGAAGAGCAGCTGGAGCCTGAGAACATCATCACGAACGGCTACTTAGCACCAGAGGGCAAGGCGCCATACATTGTGTTCTTGGCCTTCCGAAATGGCAATTCGGGTGCATGGTGTGGTGGCTCCATAATTGGTAATACTTGGGTGGTCACCGCTTCCCACTGTTCCAAGTCTTTCAACTCTGTGACCATCTACTATGGCTCAAACAAGCGCGCTCAGGGCTCGGTGACACACACTGTTACCGGCAACAACATAATAAACCATCCCAGCGATGACATCGCATTGATACGCACCCCGCACGTCAATTACTCCGATCGCATTAAGCAGGTGAAGCTGCCCACGAATGGTGGAAATCTCTACGTCAACGAACGGACCACGGCCTGCGGCTGGGGACAGACAACTTCAACTAGAACGCCCGAAAATCTACAATGCGTCGATGCTACGGTCATATCCAACTCTCAGTGTGCCAGAACCTATGGCACCCGCACGATCCAGAACCAAATCATCTGCACTAGCACTTCGGGTGGCAGATCCATTTGTTCCGGCGACTCAGGCGGTCCGCTGGTAACACAAAGCGGTACGATTCTGATTGGAATCAGTCAGTTTGTTTCGGGCAGGGGCTGCACAGCTGGCGATCCAGCTGGCTTTGCACGCGTCACAAGCTTCCTCGGCTGGATACGTGCAAACACTGGCATCACAGGCTAAAGCCTCAACTTGCAAAATTCTTGCTTTAAATTCAAAATCTATAAATATAACTGCTAAAGAAATAACAAAAAAAAATACAATACATAACTTTTAACTGCAATCCATGCGAACTTTTACTTTGTAAAGATTCTTAGCCAATCTAGTCTTCAAATTTTAATTTGTAATTCGCCTGCTTTGACTAAGAAGATCCTGAGGATAGCTACACGAAAGGGGTAGACGATACGGTATAAATTTAGAGGCCTTTCTTTGTTATAGCCAAGCTAAATGTAATACTCGAAGTCAAATCCGGAAAAAACTTGCCAAATCATAGACTCAACTTATGACCATTCGCAAAATTTTCAATATTATTATTGGTTATATGTGAAAAAGGCAGCCTTAAATATCTTACATAGACCTATGTCCAAATTTGCCATCATCTCAATCTCATCAAATGTGCATGAGTTTTGGCTCTATGTTCATGGATCCTTTAGACCTTAAGATCAATTTGGCATCTAAATCTAACAACATTGTTTTTGGTCGAAATTCATGTGAAAATGGTAGCTTCAAATATCCTATAGGTCGAAATTTCCCACTCCCATAACTCGGTCAAAACTCAACCGATTTGCACAGCTTTTTAATTTATAACATAAAAACATGTAAATCTAATGAACTGTATATTTCAAATCACACCAAAGGCACCAAAGGCACACCGAGGCACAGGTTATCTAACAGCGAATTATGCAATAGGTAAAAGAGTTATCAATCAAAAATATCTAAGAGCATAATGAACCAAATAAATAGCTTCAGCTTTTTAAATTAATAACAAGTAAGAGGTTCTAGTCGGGACCTCCCGACTAGGCAATACCCTGAACCCACTTTTTCCAACATTAAATGCATATATGTATATATTCTATTTTAGAAGCTATATGTCAAGTTTCTTGTTATTTACCAAAATTGCCCAAAAAACAGGGTATCGATATCGATTTTTATCGATTGCTTGGAAACGGAGTAAGTTATCGATTATCGGAAACAAACTCGATCTGCGCTGGCACTAGGAGCACTTACATCTAAAATTTCTCTAGCTCTTATAGGTTCTGAGATCCTTGTGTTCATACATACGGACGGACGGACGGACAGACAGACGGACATGGCTAGATCAACTCGGCTATTGATGCTGATCAAGAATATATATACTTTATGAGGTCGGAGAAGCTTCCTTCTGCCTGTTACATACATTTGGCTTTCGCACAAATACAATATATCCTTATACCCATTTTTAATAGGTTAAGGGTATAAAAATATGAAACGGAATAAAAATGAATAATTAAAGAAAAATTGTAGATTAACCTGACCGGCACATAAGTCAGTGAACTACTGCGATAACTAATGTCTGGAACCATTAGCTATCTATTCTTTTCCTCCATTTCAGGTTTTTCTTGCTATCATCAACAGTTGGTACCAAATGATTACTTACAAATTCAGTAATTAGTTCGTATAAACGAGTATATAAGGTCGCAACCGCAACCGGTTTTTAACTAACACGATCAGGATGAAAATTTTGTTACTACTCGTGTCTTTGGGGTTTGCCTCTGCTAGTGGCAATCAGACCTCCACAACAGCCTCTCCGGATCAGCATGAGCCCGATAACATCATAACTAACGGCTACCCAGCCTACGAGGGAAAAGCTCCCTACATTGTCAGTCTTCTGATAAGAACTGATGGCAGCAATAGACTTGCAATTGGCGGGGGAACCATCATCGCCCACACTTGGGTGCTAACTGCTGCCCACTGCCTCACCACGGACTACGTGGACATTCATTACGGCTCTAATTGGCGTGGCAGAGGTCAATATAGTCACAGAGTTCGAAACAATAACTTCATTCGGCACCATCTCTGGCCTAATACAAATGGCAATGACATCGGTCTGATACGCACTCCTCACGTGGATTTCACTAACAGGGTCAACAAGGTCAATCTTCCCAGTTTGAATCGACGAAACGAGCTCTTTGAGAACTGGTGGGCAGTTGCTTGTGGTTGGGGTGGACAGGCTAATGGCCAACTGGCTGAATGGCTACAGTGCGTCGATCTACAGATCATGAGCAACAACGAGTGTTCCCGAACCTATGGCAATATACCTGGGGGCATTTTGTGTGTGAGAACACCTGGTGGCAAATCCACCTGTGGTGGGGACTCTGGCGGACCATTGGTTACACACGATAATCCCGTTTTGGTAGGTGTAACATCTTTCGTTTCGGGCGCCGGCTGCATGGCCGGACACCCAGCTGGGTTTACACGTGTGACCGCCCACTTGGACTGGATACGTCAGAACTCAGGCGTCGCTTATTACTAATATAAAAAAAAAAAAAACAACTAATAAAGGCGCATGATTTTCTTAAAAGCATACAAAAAAGGGAAGAAAGTTTTTAAACTTAATTTTGGTTTTGCATTGCTTAACAGAACAAACTTTTAGAGAAATGTTTAGAGCAATCTGTTTGGAACCTGCTGTGCGTCCAACAAAAAGTGATGTAAACAGTTGGAGTGTCTAAGGATATATTAACCTGGCCAACACAGAAGTCAATCAACTACTTAGAAAACTAATTTCTTGAGCCATTAACTATCTTTTCTTATCCTCCATTTCAGTTTATTTTTGCTATTATCAATAGTTGGTAACAAATAATGCGGTAATTAGTTCTTCAAACGACTATATAAGATCACAACTGCAGGCGGTCTTTAACGTGCGAATTCAAAATGCAAGTTTTGTTACTACTCTTGGGTTTGGGGTTTACCTTTGCAAGTGGCAATCAGACATCCACAACAGCCTCATCGGATCAGCATGAACCCGAAAACATTATAACTAACGGCTATCCAGCCTACGAGGGAAAAGCTCCCTACATTGTCAGTCTTCTGATAAGAACTGATGGCAGCAACAGAGTTGGAATTGGCGGTGGCACCATCATCGCCCACACTTGGGTGCTGACTGCTGCCCACTGCCTCACCACGGACTACGTGGACATTCATTACGGCTCTAATTGGCGTGGCAGAGGTCAATATAGTCACAGAGTTCGAAACAATAACTTCATTCGGCACCATCTCTGGCCTAATACAAATGGCAATGACATCGGTCTGATACGCACTCCTCACGTGGATTTCACTAACAGGGTCAACAAGGTCAATCTTCCCAATTTGAATCGACGAAACGAGCTCTTTGAGAACTGGTGGGCAGTTACTTGCGGCTGGGGTGGTCAGGCTAATGGCCATCTGGCCGATTGGCTGCAATGCGTCGATCTACAGATCATGAGCAACAATGAGTGTTCCCGAGCCTATGGAAATCTACCTGGGGGCATTTTGTGTGTGAGAACACCTGGCGGCAAATCCACCTGTGGCGGGGACTCCGGCGGGCCATTGGTTACACACGACAATCCCATTTTGGTCGGTATTACATCTTTCGGTTCGGCTGTAGGCTGCACGGTGGGTCATCCAGCTGGTTTTACTCGTGTGACCGCTCACTTGGATTGGATACGTCAAAACTCAGGAGTTGCATATTACTAATCCAAATAATTATATTGAATGAATTAACTAATAAAGAAGTTTTCATTAGCAATCTTATTAAAATAGTTTGTCAAACTGAAGTTATGTATAGTAGAACGGAATCGAATTTGAGAGCATTATTTTTGGAAATGCCACGAAGATCTATAAGAACTGTTGTTCATAGTGAAATGACAGATATGACTGCGAATCAAGGACGTATTTGCCAATTTTTGAGTAACTCAGATGATATTCCTTGGCGCTTAAGAGTGAAAGTATCCGATTGTGGTCTAAGTTCATATAATCTGGATCGAGTCACAATAACGTCTATTTAAGTATAATTAAGTATTGTTTGTCTTAAATATAATACTGGGTATTTTGCTGGATGTTTAAAAAATATTCCTTGGTATTATTACGAGGAATCTATATGAAGTTAATTCTGCAGAATGCAGGATAATATTTGAAATGCTTGTTGTTCTGTTAAAGATCGCAGTTAATTTGTAAAAGAATATGAATGTCATTTGTATTTGTGATAAATAATCTTTCGGCTAATGTCTTGAATCATTAGGTGCTTCCCATTTGAACCGTTCATAACCACAAGCTATCAATTTAAGTCCTACAATTAGCAACGAAAGCAATAATTAGTTCGGTAAACAACTATAAAAGCTTGTTGCCAAAGCAACTTACACTAAACTTGCAACTCAACCATGAAACAGCTGGCACTACTTTTATTTCTGGCTTTTGCACTGGTAAATGGCAATGCGACTACGGAAGACCAGGCGAACCCGGAGAATATCATATCCAATGGGTATTCAGCCTACGAAGGCAAGGCTCCTTACATGGTCAGCCTGGTTTTAGGATCGGTCGCAAGCAGCGCCACCTCATTGTGCGGAGGTGCTATCATTGCAAATAATTGGGTATTGACAGCTGCACAATGCCTGACCCGAGATTATGTGGAAATTCACTATGGTTCCTATACGAGGAGAGGCCAGTTCGCTCATCGAGTAGGAAAAGGAGATTTCCATGTGCAAGATAAATGGCCGAAAGAGAAGGGCTACGACATCGGCCTGATACGCACACCATATGTGGAGTTTACGTTCTGGATCAACAAGGTTAATTTACCCAGTTCGAATGCCGATATCTTTGACAACAAGTGGGCAGTTGCATGCGGCTGGGGTGAACAGGCCAATGGCCAAGTTGCCAACTGGCTGCAATGCGTCGATCTTGAGATCATGGGCTCATCGACGTGCTCTAGATATTATGGCTCTGTGAATGAAAGCGTACTGTGTGCAAGGACACCTGAAGGCAAGTCTACCTGTGGCGGCGACATAGGCGGCCCGTTGGTAACATACGACAATCACACTGTAGCTGGTGTGACTTCTTTCTTCTCGGCGGGAGGTTGTAGAGTCGGTCACCCAGCCGGTTTCACTAGTGTTGCCGCCCACTTGGATTGGATAAGTACCACAATTGGACTACCATCGGCCAATATTTACGAAACATACCCATATGGTCAATATCAATATATATAATCAAAATAAACTAATCTGAAGCAATTAAAACTTACCGATGAAATCCGCTGATGGGTAAACTGACATCCGGCAGAAATTCTGTAAGCGGTGCAAAGTAACCACCGTATTCGGGCATGGGTAATGGGTGCGGATGCGCATTTGCCGGTGCTTCCGCTGTGTTACGCAGCTCCACATTCTCCTCCTGGCGCAGCTCGGGATCGTTGATTAGTATATCCTCGGGCCGTGGCAGTATAGAGGGGCCCGAGGCAGCGCGAATTTTATCAGCGCCACGAGGCGGGCGACTGACACCCGTAATGGGCGTCACGGCAGCCGCGGCTGCAGCGGCAGCTGCCTGAGTATAGGCGCGGATGCCGCTGTCCGACTTGCAGGTGCTAAAAGCCAAAAGAAAAACAAGCTGTTGATTGAATATCTCAAATTATATTTAGGGAATCACAACTTGCCCAATTTTAATAGGATCCTCGCCACTGTGTCGCTTCGTGTGTATGGTGCCTTTCTCCACGGTCAGATCCTGGGTGCGCGAATCATTAATGCCGCCTACAGCTTGTCCTGGCAAACAAAGAGCAAAGATTTTAGGCTGATGCAAAGCAGCCCTCAGCTGTGACTCACCATCGGCGCTGTGACTCGAAGCCTTTCGCATGCTGGTCAGCCTATAAAAGGGAGGCGTTTCAGTGCGTTCGATGAGACAATTAAGTGTCTCCACCGTCTGCAGCTCGGCCATTAGCTCATCGAGCAAACGATCCGGACAGCTGCGCGCCAAATAGAGGGCCACCCGTTTAGCCTGCGACCACACAAGTTAAATATTTGAAACGTAGCTAAAATCTATGGCACTTACATAGGGCAACAACTCGGTGGGGGCCATGCCGCTCATGATGACCAAATAGCGTAGTATAACCTTCAGATTGTTCGGCCAGAACTGGCACAATGTGCCCCACAGCTCCTCAATATCGCGCGGATGTGCATCGGAAAACTGTTGACAGATAGCGGAACAATTGAGATAGTTATTCAAAGTATTTAATGGAAATCCACGCATACTCACCTTGGCTGTTATATAAAACAGATTATTCAGTATCATTTCTGTGGCCTCAGTTGAGCCGGTGCCCTCGCGGCGACCGCGTGTGCCAGAATCCGGAAAGTACTGCAAACAAAGCACAAAAGTTGAACAAATTACAAGTGCTCTAGACGAAAATGCCCGACTATGAGATACCCTGTGCCCCGTGTAGCCACCTTCTTTCTACGTTACACAGTTCATCTAGCTCTTGTAGTCGCTGAGATCGAAGCAGACAAACGGACTGACGAAAATGCCTAGGTAGACCTAGCTCGTTGTCTTGATCAAGGAAAACCTTGCTTTATGGGCTCGGAGATTCTTATTTCTGCCTGTTACACATATACCCTAATTAATCATTTTCAATGGGTTAATACCCTGTTAACAGTGACAGCAGCCGCCAAAGAAATTCAGCCTAAGCTGTTCAAGAATTTCAAGTTACACCAAGCGAAAATGTATACAACTATGCAAACTATGTGCTAACAACAATAGAGTAGCGGCATGCTCACCATAATGTAGGAGAGCGGCGTGGCGGGTGGCACGCTGGTGGCTACCAGTTCCATGTTTTGCAACCAGGGCAGCAGACACTGCAGCAGCAAGGCGCGCACATCCTCGCGTGCGCTCTGAAAACGATGCGTTATCTCTGTAAATAAGAAAATGATTAAAAGCTGTTCAAACGTCTGACAAGCACTAAGGATAACTCACCTGAAAATATGGGCATGGTTAGTTCGGGACGCAAATGAGCCAACTGCTTTGAAAGGAAACGCTGCGAACGACAATAGGCGCTGCTCAGCAGCTCGTCCAGAGTGCCCACTTTGTCATCCTCTGCAAGGCAATAGAGAAAAATGAAAGTTTAATAAATGTCAAGAGTACGTGAGTAGCGTATTATAATACAGCAATAAGACAATACCAACCACAAATATTATTTGCGGGCATGATTTGTGGTTGAGTGCTCGGCAACAACTGCGGGCACAACTGAGTGCCGGATGTTGTGAGCAACTTCCGCTTGACATTTCCATTGGGGCCAAAAAGCTTTTCTAAGCCGGCGCTGGAAGTTCCTTACATCTGTTTCTATTTACTACAAAATATGTCAGCAGAGAGACCAACAACAACAACAAGCACAAGTATTGACAAGAGCTGGCACCTCGTAAAACCCAGTTATGTGGCCCAAGGTCCAATTAAATATCTGAAGGGGCAGACACACTTGTTGCTTCCGCGCTTACCCTGACCTGGTCACCTGTTGATTCAATGAATGAAATGGCGTCATTTGGCATTGCGCCGACGCCAAGGGGCGGCAAAAAGCTCAGCGGTTGTTTTGGCGCCTTCCAATGGCGGCGAAACGGGATATCCAGTTGTTTAAAAAGCCGCCTCAGCCATTGTCTCGGCTTAGTTTCGCGCGTTATGTCCTACAGGCTGCAGGTTCTTGAGTGGCACCAAAGAACATTCAAATGAACAACTGAGGCACATAACATAAGCGCGCCGTCGGTAAAAATACAAACGTAAGCCTCAACGACTCGAATTGAGCAATTAGTTGATCTATCAATTGAACAATTTTTTTGGGACTGAGTTTAAAAAAAAAAAAAAAAAAGCCAAATATTAAACGAAAAAGTTGGGGTCAAACTTTCATAGAAAATCAAAACTTTAGCTGTGCACTTGACCGATTTCGATGCGTGTGCAAAAGTTTAAGCTAAAAGCAATCAGGAAATATATATATAAAAAAATGTAAAAACAAATATAAAAGCGAATAAGAAACGTGTGAAAAACTTTCTTGAAATGGTTTTCTTTGATAATTGCCTGTAAGTTCATTAAAGTTGAAAATTAAAAACGAAAACTTAATCCGAAAAATACAATACAATACAACTTTAACTGAACATAATAGTTAAAAACTTTTGTAGACAAAAATAATAGTTTAAAAACTGTTTCATCAAAAAACTTTGAACAAATATTTCACAGATATTTTTTCGTTCCGGAAATTGTGTTCGTATAGTTTGTTAAATTAAGCAACTTTTTACTTTTCATTTATTTTGAGTACAACTGAAAACTGCACCTAATTAGTTTTGATTTTCTTTTTTTTTATATTCAACTCTGTTGTTGCTGTATAACTTTCAGAAAATTAAATACAAGCCCGGATAATATTAGTGGAGAGAGATTTGTGCACTCTGTCAGGAAAGCAACAAAGCGCCAGCAATAAACAGGCCGCAGGCCAAGTGTAGCAAGAGAATTGTCAAGACACTTGCAGTGTCATTGACAACTGTGCGGCAACAACAGGACAAACGCAATTATGGCTAATCCCTATGAACCGACCACAATGACAGCAATGTCAAACACAAGCCAGGACATATCGGCAGCAACGACAACGACAACAACAACAACAACAACAGCGACAACTGCAACAGCGACAACAACCCTCAGTTATACCACAGATAGCAGCAGGAATATCAGCAGCGAATTGGAGTACATGTCCGTTGAGGACGAGGAAATGTTGCACATTGCATTCCTCATCAGCGATTTCGTGAATAGATACTATGTGCCCATCATCTGTTGCACGGGCAGCATCGGCAACATACTCTCCGTCTTTGTCTTCTTTATGACGAAGCTGCGCAAGTTGTCATCGAGCTTCTATTTGGCCGCATTGGCCATCAGCGATACCTGTTTCCTGTGTGGCTTATTCATGCAATGGCTAAATTTCCTCAATGTGAACATCTACAATCAGAACTACTTCTGTCAATTCTTCACATTCATCAGCTATTTGGCCAGCTTCTGTTCTGTGTGGTTTGTGGTTGCCTTCACCGTGGAGCGTTTCATAGCAGTCATGTATCCGCTTAAGCGGCAAATAATGTGCACCGTTCGACGAGCTAAAATCGTCTTACTTGGCCTCACATTGGCCGGCTGTGTGCATTGTGTGCCTTACATATTGATTGCCAAGCCCGTCTACAGTCCCAAGCTGAATGATACCATCTGCGATCTGAACACCTCGTATAAGGTGAGTATGGGTATGAGTATACTATGTTAAATGGCAACACGGCGTATGTGTGATATCTCTGAGCTGCTCTCTGCCAGCATTCACACATCAAACATGGAAACCTTTTCTATTGCATGTTTGTAATTCCGAAACTGGTGTCTTTTTGGTCTGACTTTAAATGGGTTGCCAATAACAACAGGCAGTGAATAGTGGCAGGAATGTTACAAGAGGGCGGCCAACAAAAGGTGGCCACAAAAGCACAGACTATGCCACATCCTATTGTGAATTCTCTGAAATTCATTTTACGCATACATTTTTTTGATAAATGCTTGACATTGTTTTTTGATCCCATTCTCTAGAGAATTTATACGAATTCACACAATTCATAACTCGAAGACGAAAAAAATCAAATAAAAATGTCAAAACACTTTACCTGCTGCTTTTGAATCTTGAAGTGTGCAAATTGATGTTTGACCATTTGATATATTAATAAATTTAATTGTTCAGCAGTCAATCATATACAAATTGGCAAAGAATTCTGGTTGTGTGTGGCTGACATTAAAACAGGTACAGTAGGAAATTTATACCCCTAAGCTAGAGTCTGCATGTGGCATATAGAATCTGTGACTGACATTAAAACAGGTACTGCATAGTTTAGGGGCATACATTTGCTTGCCAGTGGCCATAGATATTTAATCTTAACACACGAGTAGATATTTCCTCTTCAGCCTCACATGAACAACAGACGGTCAACATTCTCTTATCAACCACTTTGCAAACGGGAATTAAACCCAATTTCAGAGCACGCTTGAGTAAATATACGTATTGCATAGCACTTCTCTATCCTTTTGCTGCCAAGGATTTCCGTTCAATTTCTGCTGCTGATAAAATCCTTATCTCTAAGCATGAACTTTAATTTTAAAAAATCGCCTTGGCAGCAGACAACGTCTGGCTGTTAACTTGATGGCCACTCGCTTGAATAGGCAATAAACTAAAGCTGCTACGTTTGGCAGAATGCGGCGCTCTTAAAGTTGCCGTTGGTTCAAGGAATTTGCCTTTGCTGGTGGCCAATTAACAAAAAGAAAAAAATGAGAAAAAAATTATATCAATTGTTAACAAGCTAAGCCCAAAGCTAAATGCCACAAAAAAAAAAAAAAAAAACAAAAAGGAAAGACAATCCCAAGAACCAATAATAACATTGCGTAAACGCCGCCAATTAATCAAACGCGCAGTTTGTTCAGCCAACTGCTGAGTGAGTTAGGCGCAAATTGACAATTTATTAGGGCGAGCCAACAAATTAGAAGCCCAAATTTAACACAAAAAGCAGCAGCATGTCACAGCATACCAAAAGACAAAAACCACAACAAAAAGCTGGCCCGCACGATTGTAGAATGCCCTTCCAGCGGTTAGTTTAGCTTTTGATCATAAAAGTGCACATAACAACCAACTAGGCTCATGAAAATATGTCTATAAAATAATTGTTAGATTTTACTGATTCAGCATACAATCCATATATAAATGTTATTTACCTCCCTTACTGCACAACATTAAATTCAATTAATAAAACGACGACAAGCTCAGCCTTGAAAGACGCATCCTACTATAAAAAATATCAAAAATTTACCACTTGACATCATATTACACCTTGGCAGCAGTATCACTTTACAAGCTTAAGATATGTACATTCCATCAAATCATATTCCCCGCTTACCCTTTCTGTTTATAGGGTATACAGTACCAGTGCGTTGTACAAAGACCGCAAGTAAAACTAAGGCAGACAGTTTCTTTTCTTTTCTACCGCAACACAAAAGGAGAATGCCAAACAATTGCTAAAGAAGCACAGTCGAAACGTGCCCACCCATCCAACATTGGTTATGGGCGTGTCCGATTGGTAGTCACACGGACAAAAAAAAAAGAAGAAAATTCCGCACACACAAAAGGAAAAGGTCCTGACTGAAAATTCGCTTGGGAGGTGTTCGTTAAATCTCGAATTTCTGTTTACATTACGTTTTATGTTGACGCTTTATAACAATATCTGACAAGGGGAGGCCCTGAAATTCAATGCTAATTTCCAGACAGTGCAAGTCAAACAAGCAAAACAAAATGTCCAACCACCAAAAAAAAAACATATTTCCCGAAAAGCGATCGCATCTATTAGCCAAATTGGGCCCGGCGACAACTGAAGCGTTAAGTTTTTAACAAAGCCGCGCCCATCAAGATAATAAAGTACCCATTTGTTTGTTGTTGCTATTGTTGTTGTACACATTCAAGTTCAATATGTACATCTGAGACATTCAAATTCAATCAGTAACGAGAAAATACGAGCGAGAGAAAGAAAATAAAATAAGAACGACGACGAGACAAAAATTTGCTGCCGGCGAACGTGTCGTATGAGCGATGCGCCCATATTTATCAACGGGCGGGGGGGTGCTTCGCCTTGCCACATTGTTGCAACATATTCGAGCCTGGCCTGCGCTGTAGATCGATGGCTGTGCGTGGGGTTTTCGGTATTGACGGCAAACAATATTGAAAATTGGATATATTTGTGGATGGGTGAAGTTAAATTTGGAAAATATGCAAAGCAACAACGTATTTTATTTTCTTCTATTTTCTTGGACTCGGTTGACATTGTGTGCGCTTTGAAAGGAGCTGCTAATGCTAAAGCATTTGATACAGAGAATCTGCAAATTGGCCGGAAAGTTAGCCATGTGCAAAGGCGGCAGGCGTGGGCCAGACGTTCGTTAAAATGAATTAAATGTAATTGGTAATAACTACATTAGAATGTCTAAAAATGCGGCCCCAGCAGATGGCCAATGAAATATGTTTAAGAACACTGAGAAAATTAACTATCGTTAATACAAAATAAAATGGCTGTTGGCGTGGTTAACGGCTCGAACATTCAGTTCTTAGAATCGCGATATGAGCAAATGTTTCGCTCAACTTTCTTTTCCAACTCTTCGATTCTTGTTACTTTTCAAATGCATGAACTCAGTTCTGGTTCTTCTGTTTAGAATAACATTAGAGCAAAATCTTTAACATGTTTAGTCCACAAGCCAAAAAATACGGAAACACCCATCAATCTAATTTGCTGGCTTTATGATTATGTTCACTATACTTGCTACGGGCAACTGACAGCCAAATTTGGACATATTAAGAGCAAAATTGTGTTTCCCGAAATTGTGTATTTATTATATGTGATTAGTGCTTTTAAATCAATCAAGCTTCAGAAATTCACAGCTGACATTCATATGGCTGCTTATCAGCTTAATACGGACTATGAGCAGATTTTGATTAAAATTGCGGCCAGTCAATGTCGGCACGCACTTTGCTGGCAGCTTTTCCAGAGGCAGCAGCTGCTGGTCAATTACATCTTTAATATAATGTATGTGGCAACTTTATATACCCAAGTGAAATTGAGAGGGGATAAAGTGTGTCTTAAGGCTGTGCCGAAGCGTGCCTCTAGCTGCTGCCACAGGCAAGTCTGTCAACGTTGCACTGCACAACTTGACATCTTGACCGGTTTCTGCAGAAGCTCTCAATTCTAAATGCCAAGTTTATAATCAAACATGGCAAATTGGCGCCTTCTAAAGGCTGCTAAGCTAGCACTTCCTGCAACTAGGACCCGTAATCGAATATGCTTAATATGATTGCAACTGCCTTAAACTATGTGCCACAACATACGCTACAGCAACAACAACAACAACAACAACATGCAGTTCATTGAAAATGTATGAGCTATCAAACTTTGATCAACTTGACACGCTGCCCAAAAGTAATCATATAACAAAAATGTTGATAAATAAGAAACGAAAATAAAATTGAATTTGTCCGTAAATGGGCACAAATTGTAAAAGGGGCCAAGAAAATTGCTTTAATTGATTGCATATTAAAGAGAGCAAGGGTTAAGCCAAACTCCCCTGATAATACTCCCTAGGCTTTTCTATGTACAGCTGAATTGCTTTGCGTCGTATCCGTAATTTTACCTTTGTCAATTAAGCCTTTGGCTATATTTTAGTGCAGTTTTAATGGCTTAATCCAACAACAAGTTACAATTGAATCTTATTCCATTCTATTTTCGCATTATATCGAAATGCTAATTAAAAATTCTTATTTATTGCGAATTTCTTTGCACATTTCAGCCGCGAAAAGCTTTCATTTCAGAATTTAATTAGCATCTGAATATTAATATAGAAAATTTCTGTAAGCGGATATTAAATAACAACTTTGCATTTCTCTGGCTGGCATTTAAATTCAAAGCAGCAGCAGCAGGTGTGCAATAAATGAATAAATATATTTAATTATCTTCATTTTTTTTTTGTGCTATATTTATAGTGGTTTTATTAAATTGCATGCGAGCTGCTTTCGCTGGAAATATCAATTTTTTTCCATAGAGTCAAGTCTCACTATTTCCCGTTAAATAATCTCGAATATCAGAAATAGAGCAACAAGAAACGAATGTTATGAATATCCACAGCAACAATTGATATTTTCCAAGAAGAGCACCAACAAAACTACAAAATTAAAAAAAAAAATCGTCGTACCAAAAATAGCTTTTAGATGGGATTAATAGTATCCTACTAGGAATATTTCCAGAGCTGTTGCTATAAATACAACAGATAGATACGCTTAAATAAAGTGGAGCAGACTTCCATGTTCAATTGAATAAAAATTCTTGCACAAACTTTAGTTTTTATTCTTTAAATGTTGTAACTACTGTTAACACTTTTATGCGGGCCTCTGTTCCTTAAATACACTTTTCCAATTCTTTTGAAATTTCTCTCTGGGTGAGTTATCTGTTTATCAAATGCTTAGGGATCAAAAATTCTAGCAAAAACTTTCAAACCCTAAAAAAACGCTTTTCTTAAGTTTTTTTAAGCCAAGCGAAAGCACTGCAGCCATTTTTTGCACGGACCAAACGTTATTAACTCTTCTCAGAAAATTGCAGGCACATTTTTAAACGAATTCCAGTTCAATCGAAAAAAAAAAAAAAACGAAAAGGATCCATTTCCTTTCGTTAGCTGCACTCTCATTCTGTTTTTCGTTTTTTTATATATATGTATATTTTAAATTATATTCTATCAATAATAATTCGATTTGTCTGTGGTTTCGCACAAAGCAAATTACGCATACGCCGCGTTGCCGGAACCAGTTTGTAATTGGATTAAAAAGCAAACAAATTCAAGTGCAGGCAAATTTCTAAATTTGTTTATTATTATTTACAGGAACAACTGGCTCTTTTCAACTACTGGGACTCGATTGTTGTCTATGCGGTTCCCTTTACAACCATCACCGTGCTGAATACCTGCACCGGCTGCACCGTTTGGAAATTTGCAACTGTTCGACGCACACTGACAATGCATAAGATGTGAGTAGATATTGTTAAAATTGAATAGAACATTTCCCAGTGAAAAATTCAGTTGGAGCATGCAGCTTAGTGTAATGTACAATGCTGATTTGATATTGGCATAATTTCTGACTTGGCCAATCTGATTGCAATGCCACAAAATGCAGTCTGCGTTTTATATTTATGAGGGCAATATTCATCTAATCAAGTACGAATGCGCATTGTTGTATTCATGCAGGAAGCCTCAGATAACTAACGTACCAGCAAATGCAACAACTGGCGGTGGGGTTGTAGCTGCCACTTATCGCATTTCAGCATCGCTGAGGCGTCAAAAGTCAACTGGCACACACCCAAGCGGACAGCACAGTGTGTCACGGCAAACCGAACAACAACAGCAACAACAACAACAACAACAACAACGACACGATGCCAGGTCTCAACACCATTGCGAAATAACACAGAAAACGGGTAAGACACCAAAGTTGCAGTTAGTTGTAGCCACTTGACAGGACATAATACTCATTTAAACTAAATGACAGCCAGCCACACACTTGCCACACATTCGCACATCCAGGTTGGCAACTTTCCCTTAAGCCATTAGCTGCCAACTTTGGCAGCTCAACAATTAGCCATATGCAACATATGATAACGTGCAAAGCAGCGTGAAAATGCAAACTACTTAAGAGTTTACTTTCAGCACGCATCGCAAACTTTTTCTGCAGTCAACTTAAATAATTTCAAAGTAATTGCGCACATTCTACATAATATACGCCCTCCTTTCGTTTCTTACACGCCCAACACGTTTGTTGTGCAGGACGTCGCAAGGTGCAAAATTCATCGCAATTGAAGGTGACCAAAATGCTGCTCATTGTCTCCACGGTTTTTGTCTGCCTGAATTTACCGAGCTGCTTGCTACGCATCGAAACTTATTGGGAGGTAAGTTCCTGTTGAAAAACTATTTCGAACTAAACGAAGGACTGTGAGACGTGACTTGTTGCCATGTATAGAAACATAGTTTTCAACTATTAATATGAAATAGTTTGTCCTGACTGGCTGATATATAATCCACGCACAGCCCAAACTGTAAGAGCTAGGCCTAGGTGACCCCTTCACTCTAGAAACCATGGAAATTCCACTCACAACCATGGAAAGTATCCCACCAATAGGTGACTGCGAGAGTATGAAACTGTTTTGTAACTCAACCGCTCGTCTTCCAACTCCTTTCCCAACATCTCTGTAAAATATCATTTCATACGTAAAGTTCCTCATAATAATACAAATAAAATACACTTGAATAAATATAGCTGACCCGTGCAAAGCCGGATAATAATTGGATTTAACTAGCATAAAATCCAATTACCATTGTCATCAAGAAAAACATGACCCGAGTTCCAATTAATACAAAAAACTTTGCAAATTTCGAAACAGAAGCCCAAGCAAAGGCACAACATAAATTGCGCATACGCCGCATGAGCTGCTCGAAAACTGTGTCAATTTGTGGTGAGAATATCAACAACAGAAATCAGCGTTACACGTGTTGCCCTTAATAATTAATTAAAATTTACCAAGAATTAGGCGAACAGCGGGTCAGTTGGTAAAAGCTCAAATAAATATAAATAACACAACCCCAGCACGTTGTCCTACAGTTCATGTAACTGCAGCAGAATAAAGAAAGTTTTATTATTGCGCCAGCAGCAGCAGCAGCAACTAATTAACAATGTCCATATCTGTGCTGCGAACCGCAAGGAGCCCCCACACAAGATTAAAGACAGACACTATTTATAGCGAGGACGAGAATATCTTGACGCAAATACAGTAAATAATATTAACGCATGCCTCGCTGTAAGTTGGCATCTGTAAATATCTGGATAATTAGCGCCGTATTATGTTTCAGTGTGAGAAAAAAAGGAATTGAATGGATTTTAGTTACAGAAACAAAAAAGCATAAGCGACTGAAGGAAATAATATCCTGGTTAGACAGGTTTAGCTCCGCAAGCTAATTAGAAAACACATCTCTGCATTTCCACGCATGATGAAAAATCCGAATGACAAGCTTAAGTTGCCTTTAAAAAAAAATTATTTAAAATATCCTGGCACGCTAAATATGGTCTCGTCGCTTTAGCTACGCAAATGTATATGAATAACATGCCTGGCAGAGCTTTGGCTATGAAAGATTGTGTGGGGGCTGCAGTGCGTGGATGTTTTTGCCATATAATTAAGCTTTAATTAGTTTGTGTACTTTTGACACCGTTGAATCGTAAAAAACGAAACTCAAATATACAAACAAAATAAAATAAATAAAATAAAATCCCGGCTCTCTACGACACTTTACAAGATTTAATTACATAAGTATCCTTTAAATGGGTTACTGCACACACACAC